AGGCGACTGGACAAGGCTTGGAGCCTTTGTTTGGCAGTTTCGAGTGCTTCAGGTATGGTCATCTGGATGTACCTTTCGGGTGTCGGCCTTTTCATCACACCTCTCTGGGCCGCCATCAATTGACTCACATCTTTCCGAGCCGCCTTGATCTTAGACTCCAACCGTCTTTTCCATGGTGGGTAACGTGTCTCTTGGCTCCCATGGTTGCCATGATCTTAGCTTTCAGGTCAGTTGCTGCCTCGCTCAGCATTTCATTCATTGGGGCTGGCCTCCCAATCTCTGGTATGAACTCCTCCTCTGATCTGGCAGCCTGGGGCCCTTCACCATGGAACCTGCGTTGTACCTCATCAATCTCAAGTTGTGACAGCAATTGCCGTTGGTGGATGTTGGAACACTGAGCTACTAGTTGTTTCGTGGTCAACCGTGACTGTGGGTTTGGAAGTAACCATTTAGCCCACATTCTCTGCATGTAACCCCTCTGACTAGGGTTGCTTGAGTAGTAGCATTCCAACAGAGCCACGTTATAGCATCTCGCCCATCTCCGCTTTGTTCCAGTAGCCCATTTTTCATCAAGGTGCTCTGGTTCCCCAGCACCTGATGCAGACCTTGTTTGGCCGGGCGACGTCTGAGCCGGCATGTCATTCGTTTTATTGTCTCTCATCATTGTATGAGGTAGGCACTAGCGTGAAGGGTCTTGCCCAAGAACCCACACTGGATGGTGTTATGTGCTCATTTTTGCCACAAGCGGGATTCGAACCCGACCTCACAGTGCAGAGGTACGGGTTCGATTCCAGCTCCGGCCTTCCTGTGTGGAGTTTGCATGTTCTCCCTGTGCCTGTGTGGGTTTTCTCCGGGTAGTCCGGTTTTCTTCCACATTCCAAAAACATGCATGGCATGCTGATTAAACACTCTAACACATGCAATCCACCCCTGGCATCTTCCTGGATAGAAGACAAAATACGCAGTGGTTTTTTAGCAATGGTGGAATTACTCTTCATGACAAGATCAAGAGGAAAAAAAGTGACATCAATAAAAAAGGCACAGGTCAGCATTTTAGGGATGCCAATAAAATCTAAAGAGATTCTACTTGCATAAAAAATAAAGTCTGAGTGAGTTTACATGATACTTTCACTACGGTATTAATTGTTGTAGTTTGCAGTGATTTAGAATTATGCAAAGGGATATGTCGAATGTTTTAATTTCGCACATTCAGTTGCCTAGGAAAATTGGTAGCAGAATGAACATTTTGGATTTTTGTTGTCTAGTTGTCTAGGGACTATGTGTTGATGATATTGCTTATCTTTTGGAAATCAACTACATTGCACTTTAAAAAACAGAACATGGCACATAAACAACTTCTCATAGTCCAATGCAGTGCCATGATAGCAAAAAATGATGATTGGAGAGCTGGAGCCTCCGCAACAGCTGTGCCCCTCTTGCAAAACTGCCTTTGGCTGTTCTGACATTTTTTTAAATCTTCTTTGTGATCCTTATTTAGAATATGCTGACATGGGGAAATTGTAATGCTATGTTAATTTAGCAACTATTGCCATATGTGCCTTAATTTGACTTTTTAATGAAACACATGAGTGATGTGACGAGCAGAATTTGTACCAGGACTCAAAAGCAGACAGGTCACAGAAGTGGCAAAGCAAAAGTCTTTATAGGTAAAAGTACAAACCAAAATCACCCAGCAGTTAGTGAACGGCATCAATAAAGTACAACACAGAACCGGACTTGATGCACCACTAGTAGTGTGCACGACAAAAAGGCATGGCAGGAAAATGACACATTCTGGCGATGTGTCACTGAGCGGCCAGAGCTGAAATACCGAAAGACACCAGGCCACATCGGACTTATTTGTCATGTATACTTATTTGTCATGTATTTGTCATGTCCTTGTTTATGATGATCCTAATGCAGCGTGTTATACCAGAGACAAATTCCTTGTGTGTCCTACATACTTGGCCAATAAAGATGATTCTGATTCTGATTCTGAACACTGTGACAAAATAATTGAGCATAGCAAGTGACCTCCTCAAAGACCCCACTCCCACCCAGTCATAACAACATATTGACAAATTACATCTTCGATCAGATTTCGCTGGGCACAGAAAAAGCAGTTATCAAGTTGCCGCTATGTTTATACTGACACAACTTTTTTTCAAACGATGACGAACAAGGTTTCCCAAGCAACTTTTGGGGCTCTAATGCCGCTTATCCATCGCACAGGACTTTCTCAGCCGTGACTCACCACTACTTGGCTGCATTCGCCTCGGTTTAGGTGGTGGTTAGTTTTCCACTTCAAAAGTCTCAGTGATAGGGAGCGAAGTTCTCATGTAGTTACTGGACACTACTTATTACTTACTTATTGTTTGTTGGTCTTATGGATGTGTCTGTCACACTGAAACACAGTAAATCTCAGCTCAGCATGCCATGAACCTTTTCACATAGATTAAAATAATTCCAAACTTTTGCATAGCACGGACCCAACTCATTTAAACCTGAAAGATTGGCCAGGAAGCACACTTTTTCCGGTGTCTAGGCAATGTTGCCGATGTACTTATAAATAATAGGCCATCATTAAAGGACATCATCCGCAGTTAAAATTCAATAACTAATTTACAAAACAACTGTATTGTATTTTGTGCAAAGCTTATGCACCTGATGTATTGTAAGGCTACATGCGTGTTGTTGGTTTGGAGACTGATTTATTAATATGTACAATGCAAATGACTGATGCTTGTTCTTGTCATCGAGGTAATATTTACTGAAAGGAGCAGGTTAGTGAGTGACAGAGACAAACAGGTGCCGGAGGAATTTTAAGATTCACCACATCACCACCTTCAAGTTTTGATCCAGCTGACTTCAGAGGAAGAGCCATAAATGATGTATCTCTGTGGATCCATCAATTATGCCCAAAGAGGACCAAATATAGGTATAAACTTTGACAGATAGTTTTCACTCACAGCTTCCATAAATGAGACACTCAGGATGACCTGCATGAAACGAAAAAGCTATTGGTGGACATAAATCTCAAATGGATCATGTGGGATGTATTATTCTTATCTTGGTCTCCCTGCACAAAACCATATTTTACAGTGTTATCGTTGTGTGCTGTCTATATGAGCCAATAAAGGGCGGCCCGGTGGTCGACTGGTTGGTGCGTCGACCTCACAGTGCAGAAGTGCAGGGTTCAATTCCTTCATATGTGGAGTTTGCATGTTCCCCCCATGCCTGAGTGGGTTTTCTCCGGGTACTCTGGTTTCCTCCCACATTCCAAAAACATGCGTCGCAGGCTATTGGAACACTCTAAATTGTCCCTGGGTGTGATTGTGAGCGCGGATGGTTGTTCTTCTCTGTGTGCCCTGCGATTGGCTGGCAACCAGCTCAGGGTGTCCCCCGCCTACTGCCCGAATACAGCTGGGATTGGCTCAGGCACGCCCCGTGAGCCTTGTGTCGATAAGCGGATTAGAAAATGAATGGATGGATGAGCCAATAAAATCTCAATGGCCATTATGAAATAATTAACCCTGTCATGCACCCTGTAACCTGATAACATAAGCTGTCCACTGTAGTAACCATTGTCCCTGAAAGGGTTAATTTCCTGTTCTAACTCAGCTGCTATAGGCTCCATTTAAACTGTGGTCCAAAACAGGATAATAGGAGAAATTTTATTTTCAGATGTATGCCATGGTTGGCATGAATTAAGCTCCAGTGGTGCCTTGAGATACGACTGACTTTTTCAATCTACGAGCCATCATTTGGACTATTTTTTTTGTTTTGGCCAACGAGCGTAAACTTGGGATAAGAGCATTGTATTGTGGCAGCAAACTAAATTTGAATCAATTCACAATCAGTTTGGCAAATGTCGCACAATTCATAAAAAAAAAAAAAAAAAAAAAAAAAAAAACATCCATCAACACATAAATAAATGGAATAAAATAATGCATCATCGTCCAACAAATGAAAATCAAATGTGATTAAAATTCAGTAAACTCGACACAGTATTGGTGTATCTACATCATACGGTCTCTACCCAAAGGATTTTACACATACATACCCTCACATACATTTTATTATCCCATAGACTGCTTTCAGTCCGACTCAACTGCAAACGTCTCTCAAAAAGTGATATATGTGCCTCGTTGTCTTTCCCAAGGCAGAATGTTGAATACAGCTCCGCACTGAATCTCATTAGACCGAGTGTTATAAGTGGTCATACTTGTGTCACTGATCTACGAGATTTGGGGCAATTATTTTCTCAATAGTAGTCACTTAAAAAGTGTAGCTCCTTGTCTGGTGAAATCAAATACTGTACAGTAAAGCTATAGGGCGGTAACTGTTTTTAACGTCTTCAAGGGGAGAATGACTCCTGGCCCAAACAAAGTGGGTCTACCCCTTTTAACAAGATATGTCCACATCTGAGCAATTAAAGAGACACCCTTTTTTTCACCAGTCTGACAGAGCATTTCACAGAGGAATCAGGAGTGATGGAAGGAAGGGAGGGAAGAAAAGGAAAGGGAAATACATGTAATTAGGCTGAAAGACAGAGCAAAAGAGGTCGAAGAAGATGCTGGGGGGAAGATGTCAGATGAGAGAAAGACAGACCGAAAGTTGAGAAAGAAGAATAGAGAGAGAAAGGGAAGTTTGAGCTGAAACAACGTTTAGCACTAAGCTAAATGCCTCCTATAAATGGACTGTCAATCATCAAGACTGATATTCCGTTGCGGCACTCGCTTTGGAAAAAAAAAAAAAAAACCCTGTTCATGTACAAATTGGTCTTTGACCAAGACTTTCAGACAAATATTGCTTCACCGCATGAAATATATTCCACTTTCACATGATCCATGTTGAACGCTCGGTTGTGCTTTCTCTTGCGCAGCGGAACTATCGTTGACAACTTGGCTCCATCTGTCATCTATTTCACATACTGGTGCAGGCAGTATGTGAAATTTTTTCTCTAAATTAGCCCTCAGTATGGTTCCCAAGAGAACACTATTTAGAAACCAAAATATATGTGTTTGGGGGGGGAAATAATTGCTTATAAGGAAAATGGTGTCCATGTTTCTGACCTCACTAAACAATTTCATGTGACAACACTGACTAAATGATGCTTTGCTTAACAGTATACATTTGCCATCAACGCAAAGATATTAATGTCTAAACCACGAGCAACAAAAGTGAGCCCGTTCCTAAATTAAATTGTCCGAATTGGGCTTCAAGACTCAATTTGATGTGTGGCCACTTTTTTTTTCTAGAACTGCCTTATTACTGGCATGTAATTCATTAGAGCTTCTCAGGTTGTCACTCAAATCTTCTTCCGCTTCTCGATGACGATATCATGGAACTGGTGGATGTTTGTAACCTTGTGCTCCTCCACCTCGTTTTTGAGGACGTTCCACACGCATTCAACAGGTTTTGCTCCAGAGACATGCTTTTCCAGTCCATTGCCTTGGCTTTCATCTTTTTTTAGTTTGTTTTGGACGTGTAGTAATGATCCTTGTGTTAGAATACTGCCTTGCGGCCCAGTTTCCAAATGGATGGGATCTTTCTGTTTCTATATGTCACTGGATATGTTAGCCTTCATGGCTCTATCTCTCAGTGACTTGTTGCACTCATGCAGCCCCAAACCATGGCATTCCCACCAACATGCTTGACTGTAGGCCAAACATACTTGCCTTTGTACCCTTTGAACCCCCCACTTAGTTGCACCACACTTGACACCATGTAAACCAAATACGTTTTTGTCTCATCAATCCACAGAACTTGGTTCCACTAATCCAAGTCTGCTTATCTTCAGCAAACTGTTTGCGGGCTTTGTAATCCATCCTCTTTATCCCATTTCTTCAACCTCAGCAGTAATGTTTAGTTTCTACAACCTCTGGATATGACAGTGAGCAGGTGCACTCAGCTTCTTTGATCGACCATGACTTGTTCTGAGTGGAAACTCTCTTGTGAAATTGCTGAATAGCTTTGACCATCATGCAACTCAGTTTCAGTGTCTTGACAATTTTTTTTTTATGAAGAGCAACAACTCTTTTTGTTTCTAATCCACAGAGAAATCCCATTTCAACTAGTAGAAACCAGAATATGAGAGAGAAAGAGAGAGAGAGAGAGAGAGAGAGAGAGAGAGAGAGAGAGAGAGAGAGAGAAAGAGAGAAAACATGGATAAAGAGGTTGAATTTTTGTGGCCAAATTCCTTTCAGCAAATCCTCTGCCACTGTTTTGCTTTGCCCCTGGAGCGCATCCTTTTATTAAGATGATGGCTATTATCCTATTTGGTAGTCAAGCAAGGAAACAGACTGACTTCTTGCTTCTAGTTTGGTTCGCTTTGATTTGTGTTCATCACAGCGTGCATCAGAAATTATGTACAACAAATAGCAGTCAATTTTCCAACCTTATTATTTATCCTTGAAAAGTATCTCAGCAAGGGACCAAATTGAATGAAATTGCTTGTTCAGCCATTTGAAAAACCGACACAGATTTTTTTCTTAACTACTGCATTAGTTAAATAATATCCAGAAAAACAAAATACACTTAATACATATAGTTTTTTTCTGGATATTAATCAAGACTGCGTTTTTTACAAGATTTTAGAACTAACAAGGCAAAAATGTCTGTCAATAGATTTGGAGTATAACTTTTATTGGAGGTATTAACAGCAAATTTCGTTACGCTGCATGCAACCTGTTCTAAAATGAATTTCTACGGATGATCTTGAGGGATTTTAACCAAAGGGGAAGAGTGTTTGTCTGAATTGTTTGGGATCACGAGTTCCCCACAGCTCATTTGAAGCAAGCTGGATACCTACTGGAAGATGCCTTCTCACCTGATCATCCTGTGAATAAGTTATTAACTTTCCTTGAGAAGGGGCCGCAGATAGGAGAATCCCCTTTCCAGGATGACCAGGCTGACATGGGAGACATACAGTATATAACATCCAGGAAAATGGCCCTTCAGGAACAGAATTGAAGATCTAGAGGACGACCCAAAAGCACAAAGGAGACAGTTAGTAAAGAATAACAGTAAGTATAAATGAACAAAGAGAGGCTTGTGACCAAGGTCACAAGGTGCATACGGCAACAGGGAAAACGGGAAATCAAGAACATCCATCCATCCATCCATTTTCTAATCCGCTTGTCCTGAAAAGGGTCACGGGCGTGCTGGAGCATCTCCCAGGAGAACATGCAAACTCCACACAAGAAGACCGCAGCCAGAAGCGAACCATGCAACCCTGCACATGCGGCTGTGCTAACCAGTCGGTCACTGTGTCCATATACTGAATGATTGTGAACTGTGATCGAGGTTTACGTTTGTTTGGAGGTGATGCATTGGAAAATAAGAGTAAATGAGTTTTTGGGGGGCTTTTGTAATAGTTGCATTCATCCTCAAATACATGAAATCCCTGTGTCTCTTCTTTGATGCCACACTTAATTATTTAGTGTTGTTGTTTTTCTTTGTACATTATTTTCTGATGTGTCATTATAAGTTAAGAAACCCCTTATTTGTCTCACAATGGAGAAATTCTCAATTCACAGCAGCAAAAATCATGAAAGGGAGAAGTAGAAGAACAAAAAGGATACAAGTAAATATAAATGATAAAATATAAATATCAGCATATTCAGAATGGGTGAGTGGGGGTGAGTTATGCCGTCTAAGACCCAACTATTATGCCTTTAAAACAAACTCAGCAAAAAATCTCAGTGTTATATTTGACTTAACTCTCTCCTTTCAAATGCACATCAAGAACATTACCAGAACTGCATTCCCCTCGCCCCACCCCCATCTCCCCATTATTATTAATAAGATTCATCCCATTCTATCTGCTTGTGACTCTGATAATAGTTAATGTCTTTGTTATGTCTTGCCTCGACTATTGTAACGTATTGCTTTGTGGTCTTCCCATGCCGAGTATTAAAAGCCTGCAGTCAGGAGGCTACAAAATGCTGGAGTAAGACTCCTGATAAGGAAAACAAATTTTGACCATATTACCCTGACACTGGCTAACATGACAGATTTTAAGGTTTTGTTACTTACTCACACAGTATTACATGCTTAGCACCTTATCTTACAGAATTAGTGGTACCGTACGTTCGGTCCCAAAACGTTCTTCTCAATTACGCCAGTCTTTTGATGATTCCAGGAGCCAAAAGGTAGTCTGCAAGATCGGAGGTGATGTTTTGGACAATTATGGTAAAAACAGCATTCATCTTCTAATGTTTGAAATGCCTCTTTGTCGTCTTTAACCCTTTCATGCACCCTGTAACCTGATAACATGAGAAGCTGTCCACTGTAGTGACCGATGTCCCTGAAAGGGTTCATATCGCACAGAGCTATATAGTTTTTTAAAAAAGTATTTATTTATTTTACATTATTTTGTGACATGATGGTGTTAAATGGTGGATTACGTCATTTAAATACCCACTGAAGGCCACATCCATAACTCACCACCTGCTACTAAAAAAGGGGATTCCTAAATCTGCTGAAAACCATCAGAAAATAAGCCTAAAAATCACTACTTAGTCTTTTTAATGCATTTTAAAGTCCAGAACTGTAAACTAAGTGTCAGTGTTTGTCCGATTAGGGAGTTGCTTTCGCTAAGAATCTAAATTGCCTAGTTATGAATGTGGGTGTCAAAAGTAGATTGTCTGCCATGCAGCTGTGCTCTGACCACTACACCACCTGGCTTCATTAGGTGAAAGCACAGTGTGTGGACC